AAAATATTGTTATAAAACATGAAGATATCGATTGCTCCGAGTCGCAGACTCGGAGTGATCGATTTCTTCATGTTTTCTAATAATTAAAGATGACCGAGAGATAAAATCATTATTTTATATCATAAGAATATTGTTACTGTAACTTCATCAAAATTATTTTCATTATTTCAATTCAATTATTATTTTCTAGAATTTTGAATTATTTTTTATGAAAATAATTGAATTCCTGTAAAATTTTTATTATTTATGAAAATAATTTAATTTTTGTATACAATTTTATTAAAAAAATTTTTAAATCATTGAATTCTTTTTAGGAAATTTTATTAAAATAGTAGATATTGAAAATCATTGAAATTAGAAAAAATTTTGTAAATAATTAAAATTAGGACAAGAATTTTTTTGACATTTATGAAAATAATTGAACTTTGGAGAAGAATTTTGTTATTAATAAAGATAATTGTGATTATTACGAGAATTTCTGCAATTATTTGTAATTTCTCCAAAATTGTTTTTTTAGTGTTTTCAACAAAAATTTAAATTAGAAAATTTTTAAATTCTATTATTTTTAAAACTGTTAATTTTATTTAAAAATTTTATTTCTGTTTAGAAATTTATTTTGTATTTTTTCTATTTCTGAAACAAAATATTTCTAAATTTTTCTCAACTTTAATTTAAATTTTCTTTGAAATTTAATTATAATCTTTTTCAAAAACTTAAATTTTTCAAAAACTTTTTCATGTTTACTAATTACTTATAATTGTTTTCTAAATTTAATTCTAATTTTTTTCAAATATAATGTTAATTGTTTTTTGACTTTGATTTTGTTTATTGTTATTTTACTTATTTTATTTCTTAAAAATTTTTTATGTTTATTTATAATTGTTTTCCAAATTTAATTATAATTTTTTCAAATTTAATTTTAATTGTTTTTTTTAACTTTAATTCTGTTTGTTTATTGATTTTTGAAATAAAATATATTGAAGTGTTTTCCAAATTCAATTCTAATTTTTTTAAACTCTAATTTTAATTTTTTTCAACTTCAATTATGATTGTTTTTCAACTTTAACTCTAATTTTCTCTCTATGTTTAAATTTTTAAGATTGTTTTGTTGTCTTAATTGTTGTTTCTTAGTGTAATTACACATGATTTTTTAAGTTGAAAATTGTTTTTGAAAATCATTCCCATTTTATATATTTTTTTATTTTATTATAATTCCTATTAGTTCGTTAATTATGTGTTTCAATAAATAAATTATTACTACCACGAATTTTTGTTCCTAATTTTTTTTTACATTTTTTTAAAATCTAAATAAAATTATTATTAAATAAAAAAAATGAATTAAAATTATTATTACATTCGTAATTAAAAATTCCCAATCAGCGAAAAATTCTAACATTAACATAAAATAATAAAATTAATAAATAAAAAATAAATTAAGTAAATAAATTAAAATAAATAAACTTTTTCCTATTTCTCCATATTTAAAAAAAAAACCTCAGAAATGTTCCGTCCGTTAATTATATTTCGTTCTTCGAAATTAATTTCCCCGTATCGCGTTTATCTCCTTTTAAAAAAAACATGTTTCTTAATTTCTTCTCGTGATTCTTTTTTTTTTCCCTCGACCCCAAAGAACTTTTTTTTACCCATTTCCCACACAATTTCCTCTATTTGTGTCACGCGGGGGTTTGGTTTGAGTAGAAAAACTTTGCTTAACTTGAAGAAAGAAAAAAAAAAGAGAAGAAAAAAATTTGTTTTCTTTTTTTATTTAAAGAGTTTCTTTTCTCGGATAAATATTTGTTGATCATGATTACTCTTGTCGACATCTATATATATATATACAATATATACACACTATTTCCGGGGAGATTATCGCAAGTCAATTTTCGAATTGATCTTTATCGCAGTGTCGCGAGTTTGAAATTAAACTTGTCGGAATCTATCGAAATACTTGAATTGATCTTTCATTAAGTGGAATGTATCCACCCCCACCTCACCGCCGCTCTTTCTATATAGCGTAACAGAATCCCACTCGCTCTTGCCATGATAAGACCGTGTACCATCTGCGAGCTCTCTACCAATTAGCATATGTCAACAGTTGCGTATACGCTTCTTGCCACTGGCTGACAGTTTCCAGTATAAACGTATATACATATATGTGTGTATATCGATTCCAAGTGTGCGGAAATCTCCTGTGTAAAATGTGCCTTTCTCATCTGAATATATCTCATATATATCCTGACACACATATGTATGTATATATATACAGAGATTGAATACCAAATTTTTAAATATATGAAATATTAAATGAAAAAATTTCATTTTCGCAAAATTTCCATCATGCGAATGTGGGATTTAATTTCTGCAAAATGGAGCAAATGGTTTCATAAAAAAATCGGTGATATTAGTATTAAACAAAAATTGATTTATAATTTTGTTTATATTTATAACTAATTTTTAATATGGAATTATTTTTTTTATTTTGATAGAGAAATATTTTTGTTTTTTATTTTTAAATAAATAAATTAATGAAAATTAAAATCAAGATCTTTAAATAATAAATAGTCTTAAAATAAATTTTAGTTTTGTGACATTTAAATAATTATGCAATATGTAGAATATAAATATTTAATAATATTTTATTTATGTGTGAAATACACTCATAAATAAAATGCAATTACGAATAAAGACGAATTGATTAAAAATTATCTTTAAAGTAAAAAAAAACGAAAAAATTCAATTAACGGATAAAAAGAAATGAAATATTTGCTAATAATATTTTCAATGAAATATTTTTGAAAATTACTAAAAATTTGTCAAACTTAAAGTATATACTTTATCTATCAGGTATTAAAACTATCTACTTTAAAATGGCAAATTAAAATAAATTTTTCAAGGCCCATTGTAAATTTAAGTATTATTTATATATTTTATATTTTTTATATTTTAAATTTACAGTTTTTACATTGTAATATAAATTAAATTTTCTGATTTAAAAAAGTAGATAAAAAACTAAATGAAATGGAAAAATTGATAAACATAATAAAATAGAATATTACCACCAACATCTAACACAAAAATAATTACTCAAATAAGTCAAAACGAAAAAGATCTATTCATTAAAGATAAAAAAAAATTAAAATAAAAGTTAGGACAATTTTAGTAAATATTATATGGAAATTTATTAAGAAATTTGTTTTTTTTTTAATTTCGCGCCAAGAAAGTTCATTAAATTGACGCCTAGTTGCCAAGAAAATTCTGATTCACTCCAAAAATTATTAGATTTAAAAAAAAATGTATTAAATTTATTTACGAATAATTTTAAATTTTAAGTGAAATTAATTTTTTAATCAATTTTTATTAGTAAATTATTCAAGAATTCAACTATTTAAATACAAAAATAAATAATTCATTAAATAATTGAATTCTTTTGGCGAATTTGAAAAAAAAATTTAAGAATAAATGCAATTTTCTATCATTTTATTTAAAATTGTACAAAAATCATTTAAATTCTGCGATAAGTTTTGTTAATTATGAAAATAATTGAATTCTTACAACGAATTTTATTAAAAATTTTTTTAAAAAATTGAATTCCTGTGAAGAAGTTTATTTGTGAAAATAATTGAATTCCGGAGAAAAGTATTATTATTTATGAAAATAATTAATTTCTTGTGAAGAATTTTATTCAAATTTTTTTAAGTAATTGAATTCTCGAGAAAAATTTTATTATTTATAAAAATAATTGATTTCTTGTGAAGAATTTTGCTCAAATTTTTTTAAATAATTGAACTCCCATAAAAATGTATTATTTGTGAAAATAATTGTATTTTTAAGAAGAATTGTATTGAAAATAATTGAATTATGAAGGAAAATTGATTAAAAACTTCATTAAAATATTTTAAAAAATTGAATAAGTGCGAAGAAATTTATAAAAAATTGATAAGTAATTGAATTCCTGTGATATTTTTATTAATATTTTGTTTTAATACTTGAATTTCGTTGGAGAATTTTATTACAATAGTAGATATTATAAATAATTGAAATGAGAAAAATTTTTTAAAACAATTGAAATTTTGCCAAGAATTTTATTAAATTTTTTGAAAATAATTGAATTTTGGAGAAGAATTTTATTATTTATAAAGAGAATTAAAATTTTAATGAGAATTTTTAAAAATTTTTGAACATAATTGAATATATTATTATTAGAAATAGAAAAAAATTAAAGGGTACTTTTAATAAAAATCTCTGACTTTTCCCTCACTTCTCTGATCTGTGGCAACCCTGATAGAAGAATAAAATCAAAATAAGTACAAATTTTTTTTACGAGGAAGTAAAATTGTAAATAAAGAAAAATAGATGTGAATAAATAAAAAATAGATAAAAATAAAAGAGGAATTGATAAAATAAAATAATATATAATAAAATAAAAATAGATAAAATAAAAGTAAGAATACCTAGATAAAATAATAATAACTAGAAATAAAATAAAAATAGTAAAAATAAAGTAAGAATACATAAAAATAACGTTAATAGAAAAAAAATGGTATCAGTGCAAATAAAAATAACAATAACTCCCCCCTCCTAAAAAATAAAAAAAATTGAAAATAAGTCTCGAATTTCAATTAAAAAAGAAAGTTCCTAAATATTTTCAAAGTTGAAAATAGAGTGACGCATCAGTAATTTGGTGACCCTCTGCCCGCTCTCTCTCTTCCTCCTCACACCTCCTCTTCGCAATATATTGTATATACATATATAGTGAAAATCTTGATGCGTGTAATTGAATGACCTTGAGAGAATAATGCCCACCCGTGTTGAGGCATCGTGGTTTATATATTGGAAAGACAAACGAGAGTGTGTATGCGTAATGTTGGCTTTTATCGGAACGAGTTTATATAGCAGAGGCGCAATCAGAGTGGCGCCCGTTGACTCGTAACGTTTCCGGTTCAGGCTTCCGTTCCGCGGGACCGCACCGTTTCCGTTCGACGGCCCTGCCCACCAATCTGACCACATTGGTTTATATCGTGGCCGTTCGGCTAACTTCGAGAATATCGTACAGTGTTGCCTCTTGTCAACAGTCAAAAGAGTTTCCTTTGCGGAAAACTTGTGTCTCACTCTCTCTTTCTTTCTTTCTCTCTCTTTTTTCTACACGACAATAATATTGTCGCAAATTATTTCTCAGTACGCAAAAAGTAACGGTCAAGTTCGGACGTATTTTTTTTTCGTTTTGCCTCAGTGTGGAAAAAAGTTGTTGTGGTCTTTTTGAAAAAAAATCGATTTTAGAATTTTGTGAAAATTTTTTGGAAATAAAAGGGTTTAATAATTTTGAATTAATTTATGGTAAAAATATAAATTTATATTGTGAATAAATAAAGTGAAAAATTTATATTGTGACTATATTTGTAGTATAAATATTTTTAGTATAAACATAGTATAAATATTTATAGTATAACTATATTTATAGTAAAAATATTTGCAGTATAATTATATTTATAGTAAAAATATTTATAGTATAACTATATTTATAGTAAAAATATTTACAGTATAATTATATTTATAGTAAAAATATTTATAGTATAACTATATTTACAGTATAACTATATTTATAGTAAAAATATTTACAGTATAATTATATTTATAGTAAAAATATTTATAGTATAACTATATTTATAGTAAAAATATTTACAGTAGAAGTATATTTATAGTACAAACATTTATTTGTAATATAAATAACCAGAAAAAAAATAATACACTCCTGAAAATAATTACAAATAAAAAATTAATTTTCCTAGTCGTTGTGTTTACCAGTTTAGTAAAAATTGTGTCCACTGTTTGAAAAATCAAAAAAATGATTTTAAAAGTGCATTGAAATTTAAAAGAAAGCAAAAGTGAAAATGAACCGGTTTGGTGATTCTGTGAGATTGAAAGTGAAAAATATAATTTTTTGAAAGAAATTAAAAATAAAAGAGGAAAAGCATTTATAGTGGACGTTTTTGATAAAAAGTGTGGTGCTCGAATAAAAAAAAAAAAAAAAAAAAATGGCAACTGTTTCTGGTAAAAATAAATTGAAAATGGGCAGTAGTGGCCGATATTATGGCGCTTATCTCATCTACGATGTGGCAAATTCTTACCTGTCCGCTTTGCATGCGAAGATACCAGCAGCCGGTGCCACGCGAACCAATCCGCCGTCACCAGTTCATGTTCAAAATCCTCGTAAGTTTATTTTCTCTCACTCTTTCTCTCTCTCTTTTAGACATTTTTACACATACACACACACAAATACATTCTTTTTCTTTCTATCGACTTTTATCATTTTCTATTATTTCCTTTTCTCGAAACCTCACTCTTGCGTCAAATTTCGCGTGATTTGTCTTTCCACTTCCAGCGGATTTTCTCTCAAAGAACATTGAAGATTTTCGTTTCTTACCTTTTCCACTCACTTTACTTTTCCCAACAAGTTTTTTTTCTTTCGGGGTTTTTTTTTTCCTCCCTCTTTGGCAAAATAGAATAATCCTCTCTTGAACAATGTACTTTGATCGAAAGTAATTCTTGAGTAGAGAGGAAAAATTTTTATCTGAGCAGTGTAGAAAATAGTTAATTAAAATAAAATAAAAATAAAATAAAAACAAAATTAAAAAAAAAAATAAAAAAAAAAAAAAATTTAAACAAAATTATTTTTTGTACTTAAATTTGATTTAACTTTTAACAATTCTTTTGTTTATTTTATTACTTTTGTTTATTATATTGTTTATGTTTTGAAGATAAAATTGGATTAGTAGAGAATGTTTTTTTGTAGGTTTTGTAGATAAAGCAGTTTTTTGTCGAGAAGAATTTGATTTAAGTAGAAATTTTTTTTTTTTTATTTTGAAAATTTTTACAGTAGATAAAGTTGTTACATTCCTAATTATGTAGTTTGAAAATTTAAGAATTTAATGATTAATCTTGATAATAAATTATTATTAATTAATAATTAATAATAATAGTTATTAAGTTAATAATTGTTAAAAATTTAAAATATAATTTGGAATAATAAAATTGTAATTAATTAATATTTAACCTTGAAAATCGATGATATTACTACTTAATCTTAAGAATTATTAATCAAATGAATTAATAATTAATGTTTAATCTTGAGAATTGATAATTATTATTTAATCTTATGAATTAATAATTAATCTTTAATCTTGAGAATTGATAATTAATATTTAATTTTATGAAGTAATAATTAATATTTAATCTTGAGAAAGATATTTAATATTTAATCTTGACAAATAATAATTAATATTTAATATTAAGAGTTTATAATTAATATTTAAGTAATTTTATAAATTAATAATTATTATTTAATCTTACGAATTAATAATCAATATTTAATCTTAAATCTGAATAATTAAGGAAATAATTAAGTAATATTAACTACTCTAAACGAATAATAAATTTTTAATTCTGAGAATTAATAATAAATATAATAATAATTAATAAGAATATTAACAGTTAATTTTCAACTTAATAAATAATAATAATAATAATAATAATAATAATAATAATAATAATAATAATAATAATAATAATAATAATAATAATAATAATAATAATAATAATAATAATAATAATAATAATAATAATAATAATAATAATAATAATAATAATAATAATAATAATAATAATAATAATAATAATAATAAATCATTAATCTTGATAATTAATAATTAGGAATATTATAACATTAATTACTGTTATGACAACTGAGAATTATATTTTATATTTTAATTTCACGTTCTGTAGTATAAAAACAAACTGTATCAAGATATGCGAAGTAAACAAAGCGATGAGCATTGAAAAGAAAGTAAACACTTCCGTTTGAACGCCCATTATTGTACAATATAGATATAGTTTACTTCATCAACATGTCTAAATAAGTTATATTTAATGAAATAAAAAAGATGTTATGATATTTCATTATTAATTAATGTACTGTTTATTCTAATTATGCGCAAAAAAAATCAATTCTTAATATTTTCGAAAAAATGATATTAAATAAAATTGAATTGGTATTTTAATTACTTAATTATTGAATTATTATAATTATTACATTTAATTTATTTAATATATTCAATATATTTATTATAATGATTATATTTGTAAAATAAATATTCCATTTCTCGTGGAAATTTTTTATTTTCACAATTTCTGTTATCGCAGTTAGAGAAAGAAGAAAAAGAGAAAGAGTAATAAATAAACAAGGACAGAGAGAAAATAAAATAGAAGAAAAATCAAAGCAGCTATATATTGAGCAGTTGACTTATTTGCATCGAGTAAATTCTCTCAATTTAAAAATAAACATATATTTCTCTTTAAATCTTCAAAAAGGGGAAAAATTTTTTTTTTTTTTTTAATATAATTCGTAAGATCTTCAAAAAAAAAAAAAAAAAGAAATATTTCAAACACATTTCGTATAATATTTAATGAATTCATTTTTTTTATTTCCCTCTTCTCATCGTGTTATATGGCAAAATGACACTTGAGAAAAAAAACTGGTTGGCAATTTTTATATAAGATTCACGTCACAAGTCTTAAAAATAATAATATAGCAACGTTAAATTGCCTAATATAAAGAAACTAATAAAAACTAAAACCCAAACGTTTTTTTTTATAGTTCTTTGAGTTTTATATGACCAGTAGTTTCCTTTTTTTATGGAATTATATTTAAGAGCTTTGATAAAAAAATGTTAGGAAAACTATTATTAACATTAAAGCTTCTTTTTTGTGACTTTTTTTCTGAGTTGAGATAGGATATACTATGAGCCTGTTTACACCGCGTCGCATAAATGTATTCCTCCGCGCGCATAAACGTATATTCCTCCAGGAGAATAAACTCGCGTCTGCGCAAAGTGCTTCCCAGCTGTGTTGTGAAGAGTTAGAAACCGCTGGGAAGCACTTTGCGCAGACGCGAGTTTATTCTCCTGGAGGAATATACGTTTATGCGCGCGGAGGAATACATTTATGCGACGCGGTGTAAACAGGCTCTATATTGTAAGTATGGCTTGTGAAAAACGATGAGCTACTTGTAGAAAAAAAAGATAGAAATGAATGAGAGAGAGATACTTGTAAAATCCCCCTCCTCCTTTTATTATTAACGTATTTTTTTACTCTGAATTTTAATCTATTGCCAGATTATTCCTAGAAAATCAAATTTTGAAAGTGTCGGATTGGCTTTTAACTTTTCCGTCAGCCATATTGAATCCGCCATTTTGAATTTTTAAAAACTAACACCATTTAGGTATAAATTATATTTAAATACATTTTAATTATAAATTATATTTAAATACAATTAGAAAATTAAATAATGAATTGCAATAATAAATTATTAATTAAAATTACCAATTTTCTAAGTTTCCGTTTTCTTCTGATTGATAAAATACGAGAGAATTGCGAGAGATAAAAAATGTAGTGTGAGAAGAAAAAAGAAATACTTCACAACGAAGCAGTGAGTGAAGTAATACATTTCCTATCATCCGGATCTCGTTACTGACCTCTGCCCTTCCTGGCACGTTCCTCTTTCTTTTTTTCTCTTTTTTTTCTTTTTTTTTCTTCTTTTCTTCTTTTTAGGTCTTAGGCAAGTGTTAAGGAGGTAAGAAGGGCGCAGATCGAAGCAAAAGAGGGGCTTGAAAACACTCCCGAAAGACGGGATAGCGTGTCTGTTTTGATTTATAAGAATTCACCACGAACCCCCAAACCTGACCTCTTAAGTCGGCCCTCACTTTTACCATCCCTAGATTCATTCCCTTCCCCTTCCAACTAACCCTGTTTAACCCTCTTTTACCATATCTTCTCCATGTTAACAATAGGTGCGTCTATTTTATACTCGTTTTACGTGTTTTTTTTTTATTCTTACATAAAATTCTCTCATCAGTGATTCTCGCAACTTGACCGCGTATTTTTTTCATTTTTATCTGTCTGGTTAAAAAAACATTCCCCCACTGATACTGCTTCGTTTTTTGAAAATGTGTGTGTATCAAAAAATGACTGCGGATAAATAAAAGTATTAATATATTTACTCTCTCTCAAAGGGAAATTAATTTCGTTCACTGAAATTCTTGTCATTATAAATAAATTTCTGTGTATGATAATTTTTTCCTTTTTTGTAAATAAAGATTGAATATTGCGAGGAAAAATATTTTTTTTTTGAAAACTTTTGTACTTAATTAACTGAAAATTTAATTAAACGTATGAAACGAATGTATGCGGTATGATTAAATTCCTGTATGTATATAAACTGGAAAAATTAAATTAAATTTTCTTTTTTTGTGGGATTTTTAATTTAGTATCGAAAACAGAAAAATATTCTGTTTCCGGTTTACAAATATATGAAAAAGTTACATTTTTGCATTGTTGATAAACAAGGAATATTATATTTTATTATTTTTGAAATTATTTTTGGTACATAAAATGTATGGTTTTATTTAATTAAATAAATCTTTAATGTCCGAGTTAATTACATTCAAATTGTAAACGGACAGTGCGTCTTTTTGTATTTGTAATTAATTTTATACTATTTTTTAAAATTTATTTTTTTTTATTTATCTTTTTTTCTATTTTTTTTTTATTTATTCATTTTAGTCAGAAAAAAAGGTATTTGTGTAATTTTTTGTATTAGTAGTAAACTTATACTAAAAAATTCCAGTGTACATTTTTTTCATTTAGAAGTAAAGACTTATAATCAGAATTTTATTTTTTGAAATTTTTATTGCGTTATAGTAAACTTAAAGTTTTAGTCAAAAATAAAAGAAATTGTATATATTTTTTTGTAACAGTAGTATAAGTGAATTTTATTCAGACAAAACTTGACAAAATGTTTTTTTTTATAAATGTTCACTTAGCAAAAAAAAGAGAAAGTAAATATTTGAAAGTAGTAAAAGTATCAAAAGTAGTAATCGGCAGTTTTAGTCAGACAGTATTGATATTTTTTGTAGCAGTAGTAAAATTAAATTTTATACTAAAAAGCTTTATTAAAATTTTTCATAAATTCTCTTCTAGTAGTAAACGACATTTTCATTCAGACATAAATGTGGAAAATAATTTTGAATTTTTATTTTTGAATAATTTTTAAATCAGTGGTCAAAGACTGTTTTAGTAAGACGGAGAATTTTTATTTTTGTACTAATAATGCCGGTAGTAAATTTCTTTGTTGGTTGGGTATTTTTAGTAGTAAA